AGTGAAGGAGCATAGTCCGAGCGGTTTCCACTAGATGCCTATTCTTTCGTTCAGACACACCATTCTGTTGTGGAGTATCTGGACAAGAAGACTCATGGAGAATACCTTCAGAGTCAAGGAGGGTAGACAAAGGAGTATTGAAATATTCCCTGGCATTATCACTTCGAAGAACTTTAATAGAGACTCCAAATTGATTCTTGATTTCATTATGAAATTTCTGAAAGATGTTGAATAGATCAGAACGTCGTTGCATTAGGAAAACCCAAGTACAACGCGAAAAGTCATCAATAAAAGTAACAAAATATTTAAAACCTAACACAGAAGTGACACGACAAGGGCCCCAAATATCACTGTGAACTAAGGAAAAAGGGGATGAGGACACTTTATTAACCCGTTCAGGAAAGGAGGTTCTTGAATGTTTCCCAAATTGACAAGATTCACACTCTAGTGAAGACAGCTTTGAGAGACTCGGTTCAAGTTGTTGTAGTTTCTTCAAACTTGGATGACCTAGACGACAATGAGTAAGGGAAGGAGAAATAGTAGCACTACAGACAGCGGAAGCAGGAGTGGATAGACGGTATAACCCTTTTGATTCATACCCCGAGCCAATCGTCTTCCCCGAACGACGGTCCTGTATAACAACCGAATCAGGAGAAAAAGTGACAAGACAATCAAGAGAACGAGTAAGTTGACGAATGGAAATCAAATTAAAAGGACAAGTAGGTATATGCAAGACTGATGACAAGGGTAAATCAGGAAGAGGTCTTGCTTTACCAACTCCTTTAGCAGAACATATGGATCCATTACCAAACACAATGGACGGAAGAGACTTAGAGTTTGTGAGATGGGTCAATAAGGAAGAATTACCACATATATGTTCGGAGGCACCTGAATCAAGGACCCAGGGTCCGAGAGGTCCAGATTGAGAAACAAGGGCAGCATGAGTCTCTCCCGTATGAGCCAAAGGAGTGAAAACAGTAGCTTGGGCATTAGCCTTAAACCGTGCAAACTCTTCATATTCTGCAAGAGAGACATTTTTAGAACCTGATTCTTCTAGTTTGAGTTGAGCCACATTTGTAGGAGCAGTCAACGGTTTCCCATGCAGTTTCCAACATCGGTCCCGTGTGTGTCCAGATCTATTGCAGTAATCACAGTATCTAGCATTTTTCTGCCCACTACGGTCTTTATTCCGATTGCCCAGATTATTACCACGACTTCCTTGAATCACAAGAGCAGATTGTTCTGTAGTGGATGCAGAAGTTTCACCAGGAAAAGAGGCCACTTGAAGAAGGCGTTTGAACAACTCTTGGACCCCTGGCACACCTTTATCCCCAAGAATCTGGTTTCGAGTATTCTCAAACTCGGGGCCTAATTTAGTCAAAACCAGAACAACAAAAAACTTTTCACGTTGGGCAATCTGTTCATCAGGTGTCCCTCCAACGGGTAAAAGCTTATTAAACTCAGTTAATAAACTTTGAGTTTTCCCAAGAAAGGCTTCCATACTCATACCATCCTTCTTTAAATTAACCAAATTATCAACAACTGTGTAACATTGTGAAATATCATTAGTGTACAAGGATTTGGCTTGACTCCATACCTCAACACATGTTTTAAAAACTCTAAATAGTTGAATTAACTCAGGTGAAAGGGATTGCCATAGAAGACTACAAAGTTGTGCATCCACCCTTTTCCAAATTGCCTTCTCATTTTCTGGTACCTCAGTTTCTACCCCATGTTCCAAGTGGTCAATAACACCCTGGCCCATAAACCACATTTCAACGGCATCCGACCAAGAGTGGTAGTTTTGTGACCCACATAATTTTTCAGAGGTAATAACTGGATTTCCAGATAAATTAGGCACAAACACTGAGCGAGAAATAGCATTTTCAACATTGGTAGAAGTAGCATTTTCAACATTGGTAGAAGTTTCCTTGGTTCCAGTTGAAGACATGGTTGATAAAAAGGAAGAATATTACCAGGAAAGCCAGAGGAGGGTCGAAAATGAAACTGGAAAATATCGCCGGAAAATATCGCCGGAGGAGGTCTCACGCGCCGGCGCGTGGAGGCGCGTGGCGGCGGAAGGCTGCGCGTGAGGTGGCGCGTGAGGGCGCGTGCGGCGGCGGTTTGAGACGGGACTTCGACGGCCGGGGTCGCCTGCACTTCCTGACCGGCGGTGGTTCTTCGGAATTTTATGAAAACTTGCGATGAGGAGTTTTCGAAGAAGAAGCGTAGACAGACCCTGCACTGCTACTGTTCATCCTCGAAATGCTCGGAAATAAAAAGGGGTTCAGGCCAATGGTGGCTCTGATACCATGTTGAAGGAGTTTGGAGAATAAAGTATTGTCTTGTTATTTACACTCTGTCTACAAGCAACTACACAGCACCATATATATAGGTAGAAGATGGAATACTAATAGGGCCCTAGGGATACTAACAGACATAGAAACTGAACAGTCATAGGAAATAATAAAAGCATAATAATGAGTCTTAATGAGTCTCAACAGAGCTTATCACAATACAAAGGCTCATAAGGTATTTTCAGCCTCTTTTGCAAGAAGCACCTATTTGATGCTTTTTAAGAAAATCCACTTTTAAATAAGCAATAAGCTAAGGCTAAACAAGCTTGTAATTGACTATTCAATTCTTCGGCAGGATGTACAATCAAAAGTGAGTGATGTTGTCCTTGGAAAGGAAAAACCAGTTGAAGAATCGAATCCTGAATATGAGAAGCTGAAGCACTACATATTTGAGCTTGAAGATCATCTAGCTGAAGCTCAGAAGCATGCATATAGTCTTGTGAAGAGACACAGAGGTACTAAATGATGCCATGATGGGTGTTGTAGATATTATATGTGCATACTCAACATAAGGATTCCAATTCCTAATGCCATCTTCATTGTGATGTCTGAACTCTCAAGAAATCAGTAAATTTTTATAAAATTAGAGGCACTACACATTATGCAATGTGATATCCCAATCTTAAGGCATTGGTGGGTTTAAATTCTTAAATCACTTGAAGTGTACTTTCATCAGTGTATTTAGTGTGTCACATTTCCTTAATCTAGCTCTATGCGATAATTTTTCATTAGTATCTATGGTGAAGAACAGCTTGCTTATTCTCTTAATTTAAAAAATATCCAGACTTAGGAGAGTCCTTGTCAAACTTTGGGAAGGCAGTCAAGCTTCTGGGAACATCTGAAGATAATGCACTGGGGAAGGCATTTTCTGAACTTGGGGCAAAATCTGAGCTCATATCTATTAAGCTGCAGAAAGAGGTAGACTGAATTGGAACACTATCCATTTAGTTGGATTTTTTTTAATTCTTGAATTCATTATATTGATTCTTTATTCTCATCTAGGCACATTACCTTCTAATGAATTTTGAAGAACCATTAAAGGATTATGTTCGAGCTGTACAGTCAATTAAGGTGAGTTAGCAACTTTGCTTAAGGAAGGATGTGTATTATTTACCAACTTTCTAGTGATATTCCTCCATGCTGAACTCTCACATTCTCATGAAGACATTAATTGCAAAATAGAGCTGTTTCTGCTTAAAGAATAGTTCATAGCCTCCTAATTTTGTTCATATAATACATTGTTTTCTTTCTAATGTAATGTACAGGCCACAATAGCAGAGAGAGCAAATGCTTTCAGGCAGCAGTGTGAACTGGCTGAAACAATTAAATTCAAGGAGATAGATCTGTATGATTTAGTAAACTGAGACTTCCTTTCTTCTTGTAATTGGAATTGGTTGGGTATTTATATCTTTTTCTTTATACATGATTTCTATCTAAGTTGAGGGCTTATTTGGCTTTTCATTCCAGAAACAAACTAAGGCTAACACGATCAGAGAAGTTGTTTGAGGCTGAGCGTGAATATGAAGTGGTTAGTTTGCTTAACTTGTGTTTTGTTGTCTGCTTGAATGAAATTCTTTTGGTTTTCTCAAACATTTGTTTGAAACAGCTGAAAGCCGAGGGTGAGGAAGCAGCACAAAGATTTCAAACAATAGTGCGGTTGATGAATGAAGAGATTGTCCAATTTCAAGAGCAAAAAACATTGGAAATGGGTCTGGCTTTCCACGAATTTGCAAAGGGACAAGCACGCCTCGCAAATGGTATATCAGAAGCCTGGCGAGGGCTTCTTCCCAAGCTCGAAGCTTGCTCGTAATCACACCAATATTGGTATTTGGTAGCCAGTTTCGGCCACTCCTGTGTTGTATCTACTAGCCTTTAGTCTGCTTGTGCAGAGCAAAACAATAAATACAATTGCTCAAGTCTGTTAAATTCTTACTTATGAAATTCAATATTTAAATAGTCCCATAAATCTACTTGTTTGGACTATTCTTTGTACAATAATATCTTCATCAACGTGCCTAAACATCTAATCTAATGAAAATGAAAAGGTGAATGAGGGGTTTTTGCTATTAGTGTTGCAATTGTTTCCTAGATTGCTCCATTATAGGTGGTTCACTTTGACTTGTAGTACAGTAGATATATTGGAATAAAAGTTGTAATTGATCCCTTTATTTTGTTCTAAATAGAAATTAGAATTAATATGGAAGAGGTTACCGGAATCAAACTTATTATTATTAGGACTAGTATTATGATTCTTGTATTTGAGTTATGATTTCATATTCTAGTCTCTCTATGATTTTTCTTGTATATATTCCCTTATCTATACAGTTGTAATTAACATCATTTCATTACAATTCATTCAGTTTTCATTATCTTTTGGTATAAAAATTATATTCCACCCTTTTTATAACATTATGTGTATATATATTAAAGTAGAATGTATTTTTTTTATTCCAAAATGTTCAAAAAAAAAAAAAAAGAGAAGAGGAAGTTTAATAATTTATATTTATATAATCAAAATAGGGAAACAAATATCAAATCGGCTTCTCCAAAATAAAACTACCATAATCTAATTGAAAAGAAAATTAATTATTATTATTATTTTTTATATAAAAAATCCGCATTCAAGGCTATCCACCACAAAATAGGGAATGGTCTATCCGATACACTTTCGTCCACTGATAACCATTCCGACTGTTACTTGCAAGACCCAAAGCACTCACTCAAACACAAATGGCTTCCTTCGCTGCAGCCAGACAACTCTTCCTCCTGACACGTGCATCGCACGTGCAATCCCGTGTATCCCTGCAGTCTCTCCTCCCCCTATCCATCCCCGGCGGCTCCTTACGCCTCACTCAATTTTCTAGCCACCGCGAAGCTGCCATAACCACCAGAGCTTCGCCCGGAAATGATGCCATTTTACCCAAGAAAGAAGACGACGACGACGGTGTGTCTTTAGGGACCATGAAGCTCCCCCTGGATATCGACCTTGAAAGATTTGACATTTTGCTTTTTCAGGTATTTCAAACCACCATTCTTCTAATACAGCTGGGCTGGGTAGATTTTATTATTCTAACGTTTTGTTTTGTTTGAGTAATTTGCAGTGGGCTAACAGTCTGTGCCAGGGAGCTAACCTGCCACTTCCGGTGCCTCTAAAGGTGGACAAAATCCGTGGGGGGGCTAGACTAGGGTTCATTACAGTTGAAGATAATGGAGAAACACAGGTGCTTGTGTACATAGATTGTGTAGTCTCCCCCGCCACCGATACTTCTCCGACCCCAATGTTCAGAGCCATTAGAAATGGAGCAAAGAAAGATAAGGCGCCGCCAGGAGAGCCACGGATCATGAGAAGCCTTCTAGCTGCCTTACAAAAGTCTGTTGAGATTGCTAGAGTTTGAACCCATTTTTTAAATTTCATTTTGCTTTTCTTCTTTCCCCCTCCGCTCGATGTTATTATAACATACAGTATATAATTTCAGTACCCTTTTCACGCACAAACTGCATGCTTTACCCCAAAATTATATTGCGCAATATCATTTTAGCATCATCTATTAATTAGAAAAAGATGTGAGATTTAAAAATTTATGAAATCTAAAGATAATAAATGTTAAAAGAATTGAAATACTAGTTGATTTCTCTTTACTTTGGGTTAGCCCTTAGCATTTGACTAATGTATTGATGTATAATTATTATTGTGTATTACAAAGCTTGATTCTTTTAAGTTGTGAGGAATTGTATTCGGGTTAGCTTGGTTGTCTAATTGTGTTTGAGTTTCAGCATTTTCATTGGAGGTTGATTTAATCTATGTCTTCGTACTAAAATTGAGTTTCGGACTGAATTTTTTGGCCCCACCAAATAAGATTTATGGCTCCACCTTGTCAATTGCCAACACTATAACCTAATTTATTGCCTTTGTCTATTCCCTTCATCCACATTGATCTTTATAAAAGAGCACCATGCCCTTCCCATCCCATCCCACGAGAAATTCATATTTCACGTTAGGGTTGACATTAACTTGTTAGTTTGAGTGTTAAGACATCAATTTTTTTTTTTTTTAAATTGAATGTAAGCTTACTATGAAATTAATAATAGTGTGATTGTGAAATATCAAAAATTCAAAATGCAATCTTTTTTTACTGCATGGCCGGTATGTACTATTTTCCATCTATATTTCATCTGAATTCTAATAGGTGGACTGAATGTAAACCTATTTTGGAAGTAGTGGTCCAAAATTCCAAATATATCAAAATTTAATTTGATTTTTTTTATTTTAATCTTATAGTTTTCGTTCAACATAAAACACAACAAAGACAGTTTGGCCGAGTGGTCTAAGGCGCCAGATTTAGGCTCTGGTCCGAAAGGGCGTGGGTTCAAATCCCACAGCTGTCAATTGATTTTTTCCCTTTAAGCGAATGGCTTGTTTTCTTATTTTTTTAATGTATTTCCTGTTTCTTTCAATATATAACACAACAAGGACAGTTTGGCCGAGTGGTCTAAGGCGCCAGATTTAGGCTCTGGTCCGAAAGGGCGTGGGTTCAAATCCCACAGCTGTCAATTTTTCTTTACCCCTCGGCTTGTTTTCTTATTTTGTGAACTTTGCTTTCCTTTTTCCGGCGGCTATTAATGGAGTTAAGATCTCTTCTTCTGCAACTTTCTTAATTGGTGAGGACACACAACTTCTACGATGTCTGGAGCTCTGAGAAACAGACAGGTTGGTAGCATAGTTAACCGCTTGCTCATATTTTCCACGCCGGTTCACCCGCGGTTAATCTCAACCTTAGCTTTCGATGAAGTCCGGTCATCACCCGACCGGCCCTACACTTTCACAGCTTTAATTCTTCACGGCCTCTTAGGCTCCGGCCGCAACTGGCGTTCCTTCTCTCGCTCCCTCGCCTCCTCTCTACCCTCTGGTACTCTTTTTTGTTTCTACGTATTCATCCGTGTAGTTTTTTGGAGAATATGTTGAGGAAGTGAATTTTCTGACCTTTTTGTTTGCTTGATAAGAATGGAGGATGATTCTGGTGGATCTAAGGAACCACGGGAGGTCAGCAGAGATTGGAGGCTTCGAGCCGCCGCACACCATGGAAAATGCGGCGAATGATGTGAGCAATTTGATCAAATCACAAGGCTGGAATTGGCCTGATGTGGTTATGGGCCACTCCATGGGAGGCAAGGTCACGTTACAGTTCGCTCAGAGCTGTTCTCGTGGCGATTATGGACAATCAGCTCAATTGCCTAAGCAGGTGTGCAATTATTTTCAGATTGCCTCAAATTAACAGAGACGTTTAGATTTCTACGTCTCCAACTAACAGAACAATCAGCTCAAATTCACTCTCTAGATTTCTACGGAGCAAAATTTTTATTGGAAAACTGGAAAACATAATCAAACTTGACTATGTTACAGAAAGAGAAATCAGGAATATTTGTCTGATCAGTGGTTCTATTGCCAATCTGTGGTTGCATTTCAAATTTTTGCTGCTTAGTGATTATCCTTTGAAGTTATCATTTTTGTTGTGTTGAATGTGTGCTAATAATTCTCCTCACTGTATTTTGAACTTAAAAACCCAGCTCAGCTGTTTCTTATTTGTCTTAATACACTCCTATCATATGTGCATTTGACTGGGGAATACTCCATTTGTTATTATGTGACATGTTTTTTCCCTATAGTTTAACCCAGAAAGTTCAAAATTTTGCCCCACTTTAAAGTGGTGAAAATTTGTTGACTTGAGTGGACGACCATCTTGAGATCATGTTCTCAAATCCTCCTAACAAGTATCAAAAAAAAAAAAAAAAAAAGGAAAGCAATATGGAGTATATGTACTCTCGCAGTTCTATGAACTGTTAGATTCAGTTATACTTGCACTTTCCTCTTACACTTGAAGTAAGCCTGTAACTGTTGTCAGTTTTACTTTTATTAGCTGTATTTCCCTGCAGTATGTGATGGTTTTATGGGACAATTTGGTAATTATTGCTTTATTGATATCAATTTCATCTCACTTGATGCAGAACAGCTATGGATTTTGGACTCGGTCCCTGGAAAAGTGGACGAAAAAAACAGTGATGGAGAAGTGGAGAAAGTTTTGCAAACCTTGCAGAGCTTACCTTCATCTATACCATCAAGAAAGTAAGGTCTATCTCTTTTCTTAAAGAATTGTGTATCCTTTGGTAGTGGGTGCATTTAATGCAAGAGATGTTTGATGTATCTCTACTAGGAATTGAGATCAAATTGAATGGTTGGAGAATTCAATATCTTGAATTTTCTGCTTCTTTGTTTGATTTATCAAATAGTATCTTTTATTTTGTTTATTCTTTCTATGCAACTTTTTTTTTTTAAAATGAGTGAATCTATAGCCACCTTAGAGTTTAAATATGAATACATACTACTACTAGGCAAACTGACTATTACGGAATACAAATTTTTTAGATGTGTATACAGAAAATCAATGTGAATAAGAATATCTGTTTAAACTATGGTTATAACACTGCCTAAACCAATAACCAACTCAACAAATGCCACATTCTAATCTTATCTGATTTCTCCTAAAACTTCATGATATGCAAAATGTTGTATATTATTTACATATTTATCCCTTTTCTTGCAAGGTGATATCTGCATAATCAATATTGCCACTCCATTACTCTCTTCCAATATCAATTATTTCTCAAGATATTTCATTTTGTGTTATTCTTATTGAAGATAAAAATGTATTGTTTGCAGATGGCTGGTGGATTACTTGCTGAAGCTTGGGTTTTCAAAGGCGTTATCAGAATGGTTAGGCAGCAACCTCAAGAAATCGGGAGATGAAATGACATGGACCTTCAACATAGATGCTGCTATCCAAATGTTTCAGTCTTATAGGTAAACAAATATGTTCCTTCTAATCATTCTTACATTTCTAGTGACATTTATCCTATCCTATCCTTTTCTTTTCCCGGTTGAAACCAATAGAACAAGGGTACCCGGGGTAGCTGCCTAATCCAGTCAAATGGGTTTTTTTCGTCCCCCTCAAATATGCCTAAAATTGTGTATGTTTTCAGGGAGACTGATTATTGGCCTTTATTGGAGCATCCACCCAACTGTACCGAGATATCTATTGTTCGTGCAGAGAAAAGTGACAGGTGGGAACCAGAGGTGATTAAACGGCTTGAAAGCCTCGGCAGCAGAAAAAGGGATGAAGGTGAAGGCAAGGTCTCTTATCATATTCTTCCCAACTCTGGTCATTGGGTTCATGTTGAGAATCCAAAGGGGCTCCTTCAGATTGTAGCTCCAAAGTTGTCCTCCCTGGTTTAGCCATACCTCTTCTGCCCTCAATCCTTCATTTTTCTTGTTCTTAATCCATCTTTTCCTTGAAAAATAAAGGAATATTTCGATTCTTTTCTCAATTGCTGACTGTCCTCTTCTGATAACTATATATTTGTGGCTGCCAGCTCTCTAGCTTGCAGCAATAAGTACACGTTGGAGGTGCAACTAAACCTTTATGATTATTTTCTGGTATATTAGAAAAGAAACGTTTGTGATTTATGTGGATTTATATGAAGTTATTTGTATAGGAATCACAATTCATGATGGTGATTAACATTTACACTACAATTTGCATCATCCAATGTATTTTGTGATGCATGCTATTATCATTCATATTCTTACTACTACTTTTTTTTTTTTTTTTTTTTGAAACATATTCTTACTACTACTAGTAAGTAATTTGGTGTCTTCGATGTTTTACTAGTGAAAATGTCTACCCAAGTATATTAAAATCAAGGAAAAAAGGGTTAAATAGATCTTGAATTTTATGTAAAAGTACAATTACGTTCTTGAATTTTTTTAAAAACTGTAATTAAACATTTTAACTTGTCAAAATAAGTTAAATAAGTTTGATTTACCCGTAACTAACAAGTTACCGATAAAATTATTGACGTTGATCATCATCGACATCCATTAATTAACTGTTCACCACTATTAAAAACATAAAACGCAATTTTTAGTGACCTTTTTCATTGGAAAAGACGACCGATTTGAACCCCTTCGCTAGGTTGTCTTCTCCACAATCAGATTGGTCGTCTTCTCCACTGAAGAAGGCGACTATTGGTATATATTTTTTAATGAGGTATGGGACAAACTTAGATTTGGGCCAAACATTTTCCTCAGTTTTGCGAAATTAACTGACATTTATCTCTCGTAAAAAAAAAAAAAAACAACTGACATTTATCTAAGCCCGTTAAAATTATAATTGGGTTTAGCCCATTTAGTAAGAATTATAGGGACCTTGTCTTTTGGGTCTATGTGGTTTATCCCAACCCTAGCTATATAGCCCACCGTGTTTTACTTCAAAATCAATTCACGCCACTAGGGTTATTCAAGCTTTGCTAGCAACTCTGTCCTCCATCCTAATCAACCCAGAGCCATGGTAAGCTCCTCATCCGTTACTCCTACGCCGGAGCAGTCCATCACCGTGTCTTATGCGTTCTATGATTATATTTCATCGAGTAACGATGATTTCTTAACAAAGTTATTGCCTTTTTATACTGTGAATTTTATTTTATCTAGAATTTCTGAAAATGTTAATTGCGAATTTTGATTTAACTAGATTTGCTGAGCAATTAAGGTGTTTTTTTTTAATGAATAAAAGTGAAAGGGTATAGAAGTTATAATTATTGAATTGGTTTGATTTTGTAGTCTAAGAGAAAGACCAGGGAGCCCAAGGAGGAGAATGTTACCCTCGGACCCGCCATACGTGAGGGAGAATTAGTTTTTGGTGTTGCCCACATTTTTGCCTCGTTCAATGATACATTCATAGTATGTCTCTTTATTTTGTTTTATACTCTTGTTTATTGGGATTTTATTGAGAACTGAAAACAATGAGTGATAAATTGGCATGTTTGTATGATCTGCTTACTCATAACCTTCCTTTTCATATTTGATTCAGCACGTAACTGATTTATCTGGGAGAGAAACATTGGTTCGCATTACTGGTATGTTTATTGTTTATTTTGTAAACTCGATGTGTCAAAATGCTTAGAGTAGTTAGTCACTTAGCCTATATTTTTGGGGCTGTAGTTCTTGATTTTGTCATCACAAATCCTGTTTTTAATCTTTAATGAAACAGTTAGAGCTATTAGAATAGTCAGTATGCCATGAAATGTCAGCCTAAGTGTTTGCTTGGCCTTGCCTCAACTTGATTAGAAGGGTTCTAAAGGGCTATTAAAAAGATTTTGTCAACAGAACTATTTCAGAAATAGTTCAAAGATACAGTAAAAACCCTTACTGTTATGTTGTTTGGTTTTAATGTTTTTAAAGTGTAAAATATATTTGGAATTTCAAAGTTGTAATTAGTGCAGCATTACATTTACCCAGCTTACTTATTAGAAAAGAAACTGGTTGAACCACTTCAATTTGAGGCTTTTGGCGTACATGTCTTTTTTTCTATTCCTATTATCTACTCAAAAAACTTGTTTTCAACAATTAATGTTCTGTCCAATTTTTAGTTTTTTTTTTTTTTCCTTTGGATTGAATAAGCTCCTATAAGCTGTGGGGGTGGATAAGTAATAGTAACTAATAAGATAAATACATAATTCAGTTAATGAGTTGGATATATTATCTGTTTATGAATTTTATTATTTAATACTCCTTTTTTGAACTTTGATTTCTAACTGTCTTCAATGTCTTTTACCCCAGGGGGCATGAAGGTGAAGGCTGACAGGGATGAATCTTCTCCATATGCAGCTATGCTTGCAGCCCAGGATGTCACTCAGCGATGCAAGGTAGTATTTTTGAACAGTGTAGTGATAGCTTTACTTTTCATTTTGATAGTGTATTAGTATATTTGCGAATTTTGTTGGCTGTCAAAATAGTTTCAAAGCTATATGTTTTCTTGAGGTGATAATGTTCCTGATTGATTTTCAGGAACTTGGAATCACTGCCCTTCACATTAAGCTCAGGGCTACAGGAGGTAACAAGACAAAGACTCCTGGTCCAGGTGCCCAGTCTGCTCTCAGAGCCCTTGCTCGATCTGGCATGAAAATTGGTCGCATAGGTATGGGATTTTTATTTTTTATTTTTTGGTTTTATCATCCCCTTTGTTGTTGTCGCATTGCTTCTGTACCCTGTTTCGATCCCGCAGATCTTTACTATGATAGATAATAACTAGTTAACGGAGTATGGTTTATTCTCTTTGGCAGAGGATGTTACTCCAATTCCCACTGACAGTACTCGTAGAAAAGGTGGTAGAAGGGGAAGGAGGCTGTAATTCCATTTTATACTCTCTCAAAATGGTTGCAACTTCAAGTCATGGAAGAGTTTTTGTTTTACTTTAATGTTTAGACGTTTTTGTAGCTCACTCTCAAGCAAAAACTTCAAATCAAATTTGATGGTTTCAAGCCTTTGATAGCATGTGAGATGTTGGATTTGTTTGATTTCTTGCTGAAATATTAAATATCTTTCAATCAAATAAGCCTTGATTTTTGTCTTCCCGTATTTTTTGTTCTAAGCTTCCGTAACCCTTAATGTCAGTCATGCATATTTGTACTCTGGTTATGGACAGATGTTATTTACAAGCATAATTGGGGTGTTGTTGGTCACATTTATGACAATGGAGTGATGTGGTGGTTATAAGATATAAGTTTCACTTGCTTGGTGCTATTGGTGGTGGTTATTAGGTTTTGTAATAAGTACGTGGTAATTTTTACCACAAACCTTATTTTTAAAAGTATGTATCATTCATTTTGAGTTGTATGGGTATATATAATTCTCTAGTATTTTTTAAAAATAATTTTGTATATTTACCAAATACCTTTCGGTGAAATGGCATAATTGGAGTTCGAACTCTAATGAAGATATTGACTTTTTGTGCTTCAATAGATCACGAAGTATGAATAGATATTACATTATAATAGTCAATAGTAACTAATATTATAAATAATTACAATCAAATTTTGTTAATCAAACTTACAAATCTAACATGTAAGAGTGAATTAAGTGGATAAATAACTACAATCAAATTTTGTTAATCAAACTTACAAATCTAACACATAAGAGTGAATTAAGTGGTGAAAGTAGATAGTAGCATCACTTGATGTGTATTGTGTATCGCGAAATGGACCGATCAAACAACCCAAAAAAAAACAATGGATCACCATAATATAATTATATTTATATAGCATTTTGTCAATGATTTTTTTTTTTTGTTACATAAACGGCGGAAAGAAAATGCACATCATCTCCAGTAACAGAATCTTCTACTACATAAAATGGATGCCCTGCTACAACTATATTCTGATGCTATAAGAACCATTCTCAAGTTGATGGATCCCCAAAATATACAAAGGCATTTTATCCCCCAAATCCCGAGAAGGGATTCAATCAAATTGATGAACTTACAACACGTTTGGAAAATACAGACACGCTTAAACAGCTTCCAAGGGAGAGAATGAATGAAAGTCTCCTCCTCTACTGGTTGATGTGTGAGAAAGGAGACCGTGGGATGAGCGATGGCTTTTGTTCTTTCCCTTTAAAGGAATCATCAAATGAGTGGTTTTCTCTGAATTCTTCCAAAAGCACCTCCATTGGCATGGCTCGGAGCGATTCAATATTCCCATTGCTTGGAACATCAGGCTCGCACCTTATTGGTGTATTTCCAGTTGGCTCGTATTCCTGGGCATCATTCGAGCACGTATAAGCAAAGAAATAACACAATATCTTGACCATTTTCACAATACACTAAAATAAGTGCATACCATGTATTTCTGCTGGAAGGTTTCACATGCCTTCTGCTGTATAGAAGTAGACTGCATAGAATGATCTTTCTGGAGTTCATCTAGTGTTTGAGACTGTGTGCTTGCAGTACTGAGAATATTAGATATACAACCTTTCTCTTGCTCTGACAAGCCTGAGGTTGGAGTCGAAAAGAATCACAAGAAAGGTTACTGAAATCATACTCAAGGCTGTAAACTTTTAGTAGACAATGTTGAATTCATAAAAGCAATATTTACCATCAACGAGTTGAATAATACTGTCACTATTTACTTTCACGTCTTCTTCAGCGGCATCTCTTGTGGAGTCAAAGTCCATCGCGTGGTCGTTGTTACCATCACCAATATTCCTGTAACCAAAGCGTAAGTATAGATGTAACAGCAGGACAGCATTATCATCTCCTTGAAAGAAAATCAAAGTAAATTGAGAAATACCTAACAAGTGAATGCATTGTTGAGACATGTTGACTGCCCATGTCATTAATAGATTCACGTGTAGTTTGCCACAGCTTCAAAGCTGTTTCAGCATTGCTTACACTGTAAAATAAAAGTCAGCAAAGGATTACAACTCAATTTAACTAAACCTGAATCCCATATAAAAGACCAGACTATTATATAAAGCTGAAAGAATAGAAATGAATAGTCTTGTTGAGCATATAATATATAAACACAATCCAACTATCAGCTTAGGGATTTAGTTGAGAGGTAGCACATGTTTCAATTTGGTATCAAAACCAACATTATGCAAAAGGTCATGGGTTAGAATCTTGGTGCCACCCAATAAAAAGAGACTGGACATAAATGTGCAACCCAACTATCAGTTTAGGTTTTTAGTTGAGATAGAGCACATGTTTCAATTAATCTTACCACTCATGCATGAGTTTTTCCATTCGGCAATGCTTAGCAGCAGAAAAATCAGCACTATCTTTGGTGTAATCTCCTGCTTGCATGAAGAAATCCTGCCATTTTCTTTTCGTGTCTACATTAATACCCTCCATTGAGGAAACACGTTCATCTAAAAATGTCTTATTTTCAGTCACAGTTTCTTTAAGAGCCAGCAGCCTTGCATCCACCTGTCACATACTCACATCAGTATAAAATATATATGTTATGAGTACAGACAAGAAAAAAATGCAATATGACAAGCACCACAAATTTAAAAGAGCATACCAGCTCTCTCTGTCGACACATGTGATTGGAGACGAGAGAATTCATATCAGCTATAAGCTTCTCTGTGTCTGATTTTGATTGCTCCTACATAGGACAACCTCAAACATGAGGAATTTAGCTACACACTCATACATTATCCCTTTGGCAAAACTGTTAAGAATATACCTCAAATGCCTTTTGAAATTCAGCAATAGACTTCATCTGATTTTCTTCAAATTTATTTGCATGCTCCCCAAGACTCTTTGATTCATCCATAAACTTGTCAAATAACTCTTGAATGTTCTTTGAGATATTTGTCAAGTGCTCAGTACTGGTTTTAAATCTCTATAAAATACAAAATTGAAAGACAAGTGCATTAAAATTAGTAATGAATAAAATTAAGATAAATGCTCAGGTGAAAAAGTGAAACTTCAACACTTGGTAACATCAAACAATATTTAATATTCTTGGACCAAGAATCACTGACAATATATCATTATCACAAAATAAAATAAACCAGGTAAGTATTCTTGGCAGATTAAATCATTATACAAACCTGGCGAAGCTCTCGAGAGAAATCTGCCATTTCACTTTGATGAGTTGACATAGTGATCTGTAGATCATTAAAAACTTCATTTGCTTTAACAGCCTCTGCAGCTAAAAACTGTACCACAGCAGGAAATAAGTGAGCACACGCATGTTTCAATTATACTCCATAATAGGTTATCACAAAAGTGAATAAACAGAATGTGTTGCTCCTTACTTCATCAATGGACTGTGAATTTGAAGATACCAAAGCATTCATGTCATCAAGTGCAGCATTAGAGCTAGCCTTGTGGAGCCTTACAACATTTTGCATGGCCTCAAAGTGAGAGATATACAATGCCTTTGAACCACTGACCTTCTTCTTCAAACCTAGGATAGACTACAATAGAAGATTTGGATTGAAATTAAGAACCTCAATGAAACAGAAACTGGCAACATTAGCAAAAGGTGAAGCAGAGCAGCATCATAGATAAAAAAGGATAACCAAAGAAAGCACAATGAAATAAATGCTGCTGAAAATTGTTGATTACCTTCTCATGTAATTCAAGGAAAGAATGACAAAAATTTTCAACACAATGAAGCTGTTCACTTTGCCGAGAAATTGATGTGGCCACTGTTTTGGAGAGACAATCAAGTTGATTCCCAAGCTCAGATTGGAAGCCATTTACCATTGATCTGTTGTCAGCATTTAGTTGGTCCTCTTTAGCTGCAAAATATCATATTAGGAATCTAGTAATTAGTTATTATTATACAATAAAAGCGGTTGATATTAGCTAGTTGCCACCAAACTACATACCAATTTTAAGAAAGAGTGATGCATTGTCTTGGAGAGCTTTCTCCAAGTCAGCACGTAAAACACAAGCTTGATGAGCAAGTGCATTTTCTGTAAATATCCAATGAAAGGGTTCAGAAACATGAAAAAAGACAAACTTCAGAGCCCAAATTTTCTCAAACATACCAGCTTTTTTCTGTTCGGATATTATAAAGTCTCGTTCCTTGAGGGAATACTGGCATCGCCTTAGATCTTCCTCTGTATTGACCAGCAACTTACTGGTTTGGTTCAAGTCTTTCTGCAACAAACTTCCAAAATAAGAACCATACAAAAATTTAGAAACTAGATTAAAATAATACAATAAAAATTGGACACACCTGAGTAGCATCTAGTTTGCTGGTCAAATCAAAGCACCGTTGAGCTTCAGCATCATATTTACCTTGCAAATCCTCAAATTGCTGCATGTTACAACACAAACATATTTACCACTAAATTAAAAAATAAATACATAAATGTTAGGATAAAAATAGTGTTTGTGTGTGTGTATTTAACCTTTTGCTGGTTCTCTAGTGTAATGCCCATCTGTTCAATCTGATCTGCCATTGCCTAAAAAAATACAGAGCGTCATCATCAAAGAGAACAATGCAAAACTAATTTCTTCAAACGAACTCTAAATGCCATGCTATTACATAAAGAAATTTGATCTAATAAAGACAACAACAACAACAAAAGTGAACTGCAGGCTACTGCATAGGGATACAAATAAAGTCTCAACTCCATCACTGGTTACAATAAAATCACAATGGTAAATGCCTTTGTCTGTTAAACGAAAAGAAGATATTGAAACTGACAAAAATAAAAATGCCTTACCTTTCTCTCACTCTCTTCCTGATAGTATCGCTCTTTCGGTATGTAGACACCATTCTTTTCACGAGCAGCATAAACCTCTAAAGAGAAACAGTGGAATGAAAAAGGATAGCCATTAGAGGATGCCTTTAATTAAAAAATTAAAAAAATAAAATAGATTTATCCATTCATCTTAGACAGGCATAGATATTACCTGATTTAAGCCGCTCAATTTCACCATAGAGATCCTTAATAAGAGTTGACTTCATCATTTTTTGATTTACCTACAAAGAAACATAAATGATAAGGGCTTAGAGCCAAAGAAATAGTAATTTGTCATACTATTGTATCAATTTACTTAATGTTGCTCCCTGGCTGGTATATGGTACGCCAAGGTGGGAAATATGAAGACAGACAAAACTAAAAATCATCTCAATCTTTGATAGGTAACTTTTAAAATCTAGCTAAAGCTTAGGGTCACTTTTCTTCTCAAAGTTTTCAGCCACTCCCTTACCAAAAAAAAATAAATAAAAAATACTAGTGATAGAATTGAATTACTTGGAAAGCGTACATGACATATTTTAATCATCAATATGTTAAACATAAAAAAGGATTTAGACATAATATGCAGATTTCAAACCTCAGGCTTATTCTTTATATTCTTTGCCCTATGTGCATAATCCAGCGTGCTTAGGGTCTCTTCAAGACAATGAACAGCAGGTGACACAGTGGCAATAATGCATGTCTTTGTTCTCCCTCCAAGTGAATCTCGGAGCAGTCGTGTGAGCTTACTGTCCCTGAAGTGTAACATGGCATTATGAAATGAAGCCAAGAGAGGAATTGAAAGTAACATTAAATGAAGAATTACCAATAGTCTATACCTATAGGGGACATGCCCCAAGTGTTCCACAAGAGCACTAATTACTCGTCCTAGTGTAAGTAAACTTTTATTTATTTCTCCAGCTTCTCTTGCACGTCCCTGATTAACACAGAAAAGACAGGATTTTTTATATAAGGAGATGAACAGAAAGAACAAAATGCCAATAGAAATCAAATCAATCAAATCAAAATAGGAATTTTTTATGTAAATAAAAAAAAAATTAATTATAACTCTTAGTGCCTCAAGGACCATACCTCCCTAGCACCAGAACGAGAAATGTTCTCTGAACCAGCCAAATCAACTAAATTCAGCTTGCCACATTTTATAAGTTCTTCTCCTTCAGGAGTTGCTTCCTTGATGTGTATAGTAATGGAGAAAAGTGAATGTGACCGACTGAAAAAAAAAAAATTCAATCAATCAATCAATCAAAATTCTAGCATACAAGTCAATGACACCTGAGTTTTAAAGAAAATATAACCTTGACTGTTTATTTAATAAGGTTTCTGCAGTTCGACGTTTTGCTGATCCCCTTTCAAGTAATGTGAATATCTCACTGGCACTAGTGACAATTTCCTCTTCAAGACCTCTCACGAGAACTCCACCCTTTCCATCTTCCATGAGTGGCAATTGTTTTTTCTGTCTGTCTTCTAAAGCAACCTTAGATAAGTCCTCAGGAGCTAACAAATCAGTAATTTCCTCATTGTATAACTCCAGAAAAGTCACTTTCACACTGTACTCTGCATTTTGACTCTCAAGTGTATCAAAAATTTGCTTTACTGCTCTAGGTATGACTCCTGCCCCTGAAGGCAGCTCTCCATTATGTGCACCCTGTCCCTGTCTCATAAAACCACACTAAAATCAGTGAAAAGTCACTTGAGCTACCCAAGCATAAAGATTTAAGCTTATCATGTAGTACCTTTGCCCTCTTAGAATCACCCTCCATAGTATAAGTCTTTCCCGTACCAGTTTGACCATAGGCAAAAATAGTGCAGTTGAAACCTTCTAAAACTTCATTTACAATGGGAATAATTGCTTGATCGTAAAGATCTTTTTGCTGAGCAGACGGACCAAAAACCTGTTTATGAACATTAGTCAGAGTAAAAACTGCACAAAATGATATGAATAGAAATAACATTTGCAATACAACACAAATATAAATTGACAAAGTAAATCAAGTAGATAGAACAGTAATAAGCATCATTTTCAGCAAAATATTACCTTGTCAAATGTAAAAACCCTATCAATGTGCTTCCCGGCAATGTTCTGCGAAACAGACACCTCTCTCTGATAATCATTGCAGGTCACCACCTGCGGCGCATTGTTCCTCAATTCATCATCACTAAACGGTCTGCAGAATCCCCAAAAAAAAAAAAAGCAGTAGAAAAGCAATGAATTTAACTATTCTCTTCGCCACGAAAATTACCAATCCAAATAAAAGAATCACCAATGAAATAAATGTGTGTATGAGTGGCTTGCAGTACCTGCAACGAAGAAGAACCTGAACATTCACTCCTTTCTCTTTATCGTGCCGATTCGACATCCCCGCAACACTTAGAGCTCCGCTTCTTCACAGGTAAGTTTGAATGTGTATCTGTGTCTGTGCGAAGTAGAGAGAGAGAGACTGCGTTTTCTTGTCGGAGGGATCTGAAAATGGGGGGAGCGGGATGGGAACGACACTTTTTGAATTTTTTTGGAGGCGCTCTTGCCGGTCAATCTGGCCGTTAGTTTTAGAAGGGCTGAGATCGACGATGGATATAACGACGTCCATTCCAGATGGAGCGTGAGACCCTCTGGGCTCTGTTTGTGGGCTTATTAGTTATTATGGACCACTCAGAATTCACAAATGGGCTTACAAAGAATCAGGCCAAAATCTAGTTGTACACCAAATGGGTCCTAATATTTGAAGGTACAGCAAATTTTATTTTTAAAATAGAGTTAATTTCATGAATGGTTGTTTAATTATTGATATTTATCAATTCATATTTTTCTTTTAATTATATCATAAACGACCTATTGACTATTGACATTTATTAATTTTCATCATTGTCTTTCAATTTGATCAGAAATGGTTCATTGATTATTGATTTTGTTCCAAAATTTGTCATCCAATTAAATATCTATTTAGGTCATGTTTGGTAAATGGTTGTTAGCTGATTGTGTTAATTAGAGGGTATAACTAGTTGATAACATTAGCTGTTGTAGAAAAGTATTTGGTAAATTAATTGTTAGCTGATACCTGTTTGGTATAATTTCTTTTTTTAAAAAGTTAATTGAAAAAATTGATTGGAGTAGCTTTTTGAATTTTAGTCTTTTGGAGTTGCAAAAAACTAATTAACCAAATACTTATATTGGTATTTTAACTAAATCAAACAATTAATAGTGATCAAATAAGCCAAAATTGGCCTATACGCAAATTTTTTACTAAACAGAGCCTTAGTACAGTAAACATTAAATTTAATGGTAACAATGTAAAAATAGGCTTCTTGTTGAGATGGCAATTTGGGTTAATCATTAGTGAAAATATGAAGAACCAAATTTTACATAATTACCTTTAAATTTAATGTTTATTAAACATATATTTAATATGGCAACTAAATTTGAAACAAAATCAATAATTAATGGACCATTTGAAATTCGATGATGAAAATTTGATAAATGTCAATAACCAATGAACCATTTAGGGGGCGTTTGGTTCAGGTTATATAATATAACCAAGGGAATGTGACATTCCAAAACTCATATTCCTATGTTTGGTTCACATTATCTCAGGGAATCTAACATTCCCCAGGAATGTCACATTCCCTCCACATAGGATTTTGAAGGGAATGTGATTCCCTTCAATTTCTAAGGTTATATAAGATAACCTTGGTTATGTTAGTTTATCTCTCTCTCTCTCTCTCTCTCTCTCTCTCTCTCTCTCTCTCTCTCTCTCTCTCTCTCTCTCTCTCTCACACACACACACACACACACATATATATATATATATATAATTATTTTTGTAATTATATATTTTTTATTTTTATTATGTTAGGTTAGCATATAAAATAATTTTGTTTCTCAAGTTCAATATTTTAGTTAACATTTTAAAATCATGTAATTATATATGATACCGTTATCTTATTTATTTATTTTAATTTTAAAATTTATTAAAATATATGAAAATATGTTAAGGATATTATAATGTGTGAATAAAAAATAACACTAAACCAAACATGATTATATTACATACCCCAATTTTAACCAAACACAGGAATCTAACATTCCCAGCAATCTAACATTCCCTAAGGTAGGGGTGTGCATAACCGACCAACCCGACGGGTCTGCCCGACCAATTTGCCTGTTTCATTGCTTCCGATCCGAGCCTCCATCCGAATAGCCATAACCGACCCGCTGCCATTAATATTAGCGGTTATATTGATTCGGGTAGGGTGTATAAATTCTCTACCCGAACCGCCCGATCATCCGAACAAAGCGCTAGGGCTAGAAATGCTTAGTATAATACGGCGTCGTGTAGATTGTGTATATAATCCACGCTTCTGCCTTAGGGTTTCTCACTTTCTCATTACATCCGAGACTGCGCAGTATTCCTCTTCACTCTTCACTCTCTCACTCTCTAGAGTCTAGGGTTTCTCAGATCTCACTTCTCAGTTATGAGTTCTCCCGTTTTCTCTCAATCTCTGAGACTCCGATAGTCCGATAAATGGTCTGGTGGAACCGTGGAACTGTGGAAGCCCTTTATCTGATTCTCTATTGAGTTCTCTCTGGTGGAAGCCCTTTCTCAGTTTCTCTAATTCTCTTCATCTCTTCATCTCTTCACTCTTGACTCTTTGTGTGAGTATGTGGTGGAAGCCCTTTATCTGAAGCCCTCGTTGAGTTGTTCACTGGCTCATTGAGTCATTGGTGGACGCTTGGACGGACTGGAGTCACAGGACGGTGGTATCAAACTGGTGGTGACTTGAAGGCCCTTGTTCTCCAGGGAAATTGTGTGAGAAAAGCAGTAAATCACTAACCTTAGTTATTTTAATTTTTATTTACTCATTATAATGTGAATATGTGATATATTATGAGATTATGATTTCTGAGTCAATGAGTCTCTGGGTTGTGATTTACTGAAAATTGAATTTATTTACTTGTATAGTTGTATTCTTAATACTTGTATACAATGTGACTATGTAGGAATGTTAAATTTTGAAAATTATTTTGGTGAAAGCACTAAATGATGATCTCTGTTGTCTTTCTTGTTTATGGATTGAGGCCCCTTAAATACTTAAAGGTTAAATGTTTTGGTGGAAGCTGAATGCCTGAATACATGCTATGTGTTGTCCATATGATGAGCATTCAGTGATTCAGAGACCTTTGTTGTCCACTTGTCCATACGAATGCCTGATGGAATTGTGTTGCACTGCAAATTGCTTAGTGCTACACTGTTAAATACTTAAATGTTAATATGTGAGTTGTGACTTGTGACTGTCTGAGATTCTGTAAAATGTTTCCCATCTCTTACTATGTGTACTGATAATGCTCCACTTTTAGATGGATAATATCAGTATGCCTAGTTCTGGCTGTGAACAACCTACAAATCCTACAGCTCAAGGAGCAGTAGTGGTAGAAGCTCAAACTGTTGACAAAAAAACTCAACAGAATGTGCTGCGTACTGCTGGTGTTCCTGAGAAGAAAAGGAAACAGGTTGAACTCAGATCACCAGTTTGGGATCATTTTCAACAGATTAAAGATTGTAATGATGTCACTGTACAAGGAAAGTGTATATATTGTGCAAAGGTATATCATTGTGAATCAAAAAAACATGGTACTTCATCCTTAAGGAATCACATGTTTAGCTGTATGAAAAATCCTCACTCTAAAGAGACTAGGCAGTCCCTTCTAACATTTCAAGTTGTTGCTAGCACTGATGCATCTGAACCACCTGTGGGAGAGTTAGGGACATGGGTATTTAATCAGGAAATCATTAGGAGAGCCTTGGTAGAAATGATTATAATTGATGAACTTCCCTTTATATTTGTTGAGGGGCAAGGGTTTAAGAGGTTCATTGCAGTGGCTTGTCCTATGTTTAAAATTCCATCTAGGTGGACAATCAGTAGGGACATTCATGTCATATATGAAGAAGAGAAACTTAAGTTAAAGTGCTTGTTTAGGGGACACACTCAAAGAGTCAGTGTTACAACTGACTCTTGGACATCTATACAAAGAATTAACTACATGGTAGTCACTGCACATTATATAGATGAAGAGTGGAAGCTTCACAATAAAATTATCTCTTTTGTCCCTGTTACTTCACACAAGGGTGAGTACATTGCAAAAGCACTTGAAACTTGTTTGCTAGAGTGGGGGCTTAGGAATGTATTTACTGTGACAGTAGATAATGCTTCATCAAATGATACTGCTATTGGTTTTTTTAAAAGGAAAGTGTTGTCTTGGGGATCATCTAATGTGAAGTGTAAGTATCTTCACATGAGATGCATTGCCCATATTCTGAACTTGGTTGTGCAAGATGGGCTGAAAGAATGTGATAGTGCTGTGAAGAAGGTTAGGGAGGTTGTTAGGTATGTCAGAAATTCACCTGCTAGGTTGAAGAAATTTAGGGATTTGTCAGACTTAATTGGGATTGAGCAAAAATCCTCTTTGTGTCTTGATGTGCCAACAAGGTGGAATTCCACCTATATGATGTTACAGTCTGATCTATTATACCAGAAAGTGTTTGAGGCTTATGAAGAGAGTGATAATTCTTTTAAATCTGATTTGGGTTCTTCTATTCCTGACTTTCTGGATTGGGAGTCTGTGAAAAACTTGGTTAAATTGTTGAAATGCTTCTATGAGATGACTATCAGGATTTCAGGCTCTTTATATGTGACATCTAACACCTTTTTCTCTGAAATATCTGATCTGTATTGTATATTGAATGGAATGGTGGAAGCTGATGGTGCTGTCAAACGAATGGGGACTAACATGAAAGCAAAATTTGAAAAATATTGGGGTGATATAGACAAAATGAATTGTATGATTTTCTTTGCAAACATTTTAGACCCCAGGGACAAGTTAGAATATATGCCAACTCAATTAAATCACATGTATGGTGTCATAAAAGGAAAGGATTTCCTTGAGAAATTATTGGCTGCTTTGAATGAATTGTTTGATGATTATGCTGTTAGTTATAGTCCTGTTGTTGTCCCAACTTCTGGTTCTGGTTCTGTAACTTCTGTTAGTCCTTCTGTTGAGGTTGTTCAGTCTGCATCTGTCCTAGTTGGGAGGCCACAACATCTGTTGAAGTCTCAAATTAAGAAACAAAGAATGGAAAGTGGTGGGAGGAAAAAAACTGAGTTGGAATATTATTTGAGTGAGGCAGTAGTTGAAGAGGAAAATTCATTTGATATACTGAGGTGGTGGAAGGTTAACTCTAGTAGATTTCCTATCCTTTCTAAGCTTGCTAGGGATGTTTTAGCTATACCAATTTCAACTGTTGCCTCAGAGTCTGCCTTCAGTACATCTGGGAGGGTTTTAGATCCTTTTAGGAGTTCTTTAACTCCTAAAATTGTGGAAGCCTTGGTTTGTACCCAAGATTGGCTTAGGCTGCCAAATACCCCTATATCAGTTGAGGAAAATCTAGAAGAATTAGAAAGATTTGAGAAAGGTAAATGATTCTCTATATTCTATACTTTATTAATTCATTGTTTCAATATAAGTTTTTTCAATTAACTGAATTCTCACATTCTTCTAATTATTTGATTTATTGCAGGTTTAACTGTTGATGGTGGAAGTAAATCTGGTGGGAAGACTGTTGGTTCTACACTTCCAACAATTCTTGTAATTGTCTTCTCTACTCTCTATATATTTTATATGATATTAGTTATTCTTAATATCTTATATTAAGCTGAGTAACTGACTGTGATAGTCTGATGTTGAGGCAATGAGGCTTGGTAACTTCAAACTTGTAAGTTGCTGCCCTTGATGAGTTTTTGGCCCCTAACCGCAAGACTGCGCTGAAATCTTGTTAAGTGGTGAACTGGTAACTGTTAATGTTCTGTTTGCACTTTAGACTGTAGAGGCTTGGTAGCTTACAACTTACTTGCTTGTAAGTTAGTAAAGTTGCTACCTTTTGCAGTTTAACCAGTTTTGCATTACTGTTATCTTTGAGTTTTGGTATATTTAATTTCTCTAATTATATTATGGCAATGATGAAGCTTCCACCTATGATCTGAAATAAGGATTAAGTTGGTATGTTGCTCAATGATCATGGTGACATTTGTAGCAATTTGCCCTTAATCTAGACATTGATATGGAAAAAAAGCTTACTGAGCCAAATTTATAATCTCAATATCTCATTCTCATATTATCATTTCTTATGTAATTATTATTGTTGTTTATTACTTTACTAATTTGCACTAAGTTTAAACAGGAAGAAGATTAGAACTCAGGTTTTAAAGTAGGATCAAGATGGCTTTTTGATGACATTGATCAGGAATTCAGGAATCAGGAATTCAGGATGGCTATTTGATGATATTTTGATATCTGATCAGGAATTCAGGATGGCTTTTTGATGAATTGATTTGGATTTGTAATTTTGAAAGCTGTAAAGTGTAAATCATTAAATTTGTCTTGTTGCCTAGCAATGTCGTTTTGGCCTTTTGATTAATTTGCCACTAGTTTTACTGTTTTAGAATTTAGTGTTTTACTAATTACTAGTTCAAGATTTAGTTTTTAATTATGTTTACTTCAAATTTTCATAGTTTTCTGGAACTTATTTTGATGTTGCTAAACCCGATCATAACTCGGTTATCCGACAAAACCGTCCGAAACCGAATTAACAAAAACCGAAAGGATTTTATAATTTTTTTAGCCAAGATCGGTTTTAGTTTCTCCAATCCGAAAACCGTGCGGATTAAGTATTCTCCCATCCGAACCGGACCGATCCGTCCGTTGCACAGTCCTACCCTAAGGTAATCTGACATTCCGTGAACCAAACAACCCCTTAATGTCTAATTAAAAATCAAATATAAAAATTAATAAATATAAATAGTCAATGTACCATTCATAAAATAAATTCTTTTAACATATTAAGATCACATTTGAAATATTACAAGATTTTCGTTTTTCTGAAAAAATATTGAATAGAAAGGATGCAATAAATTGCAAGTCAAGAACTAACTAGTGTTTATTTTTCTTAATATCATTAAATTTTTTATTACCCAATAATGATAGGAGTAATAACTAATAACTCAGTTATCCATCCAACATCGTAATAGCAATTAGCAAGTCCCCAAAATAGTACAGTAATATTTTTAAGGAATAAGGGTCAAATAGGCCATTGAACTGCTCATGATAATGCAATTAGGTCACTGAATTTAAAAAACAACAATTGAGTCCCTAAACTAACCAATTCCATTCAATTAGTCCCATTTACAAGTTTTTCAGGTTAACATCAAGTCACCCCAAATTTAAAATATTTATTTAAAAATAATTATTTATACTTAAAAAAAAAATAAATTACCCCACGAATCATCTCAGCTACCATGTTTTCCGGCGTTCAAGTCCTTAATCCCAGCATCCCCGAGTATTGATTTATCCCCTATGACATAGTTGGAGAATAAAGCGAGCAAAAGTGTATCAACAAAATACATCTGCAAGAGTGTCTAAAACTCAAAGCTCTATTTATGCGGACCGCCGAGAAAGTCGCAGAGTTTGGGCGACGATGGATTCATTGTAGTATAGCAGAATGGATTCATGTATCAAAATCAAACCAATAAACAACCAACCTTGCACTGTTATATACAAATAGATACTTGGAAATGAGGGGAAAAAAGTAAACAAAAAGGGAACACGGCATGGGGGGATAGGGTTTTCATTTCTGTAATTCTATGCGTATGGGTCCGATTTGAAAAGTCAAAATACGACTTTGTTATTGTCTATTCATCAAATTATAAATCTTTGTTTGAAATTCTCTTGAAGCATTTATATATTGTTTGGTTGTTTGTGGTTAGAATCAGTTGATTTGGAACCATCATAATCAATTTCGAGCCTGCCGTCGCCGAATTGCAATCCACGACTTTTTCGATGATCTGAATTTGCAGCAAATTCAGGCGAAGGATTAGGGGAGAAAGAAAAGTAATACAAAATGATTAAAATACCCTTATTTATTTAAAAATATGGGGTGACCTGTTAGTAATTTGAAAAACTTGTAAATTAGACTATTTGAATGAAATTGGTTAGTTTATGGACTTAATTGTTGTTTTTTAAAATTCAGTGACCTAATTGCATTATTGTGTACAGTTCAATGGCATATTTGACCCTTATTCCTATTTTTAATACGGAGTATTGATTATTAAGAGTGTGAGATTTTGCGTCATTGGCAATTAATATTGTACTAAAATTAAGAATTTGTTGTAAAACCTTATGTGACATTATTCGCTTTATATTGATGATAGGATTCTTAATACTGTAGAGTCTTAATACTGTAAGAATCCTAAAGGCTATTATGATAGAGAGATTATATATACCATTGTAATGCTTTACAAAGTTTTTGATGATAATAAGAATTAATGTTCTCTATTATTTATTCTTCTTCTTCCTACTATTATTACTTTTTATTACTGTTCTCTACCCGCTAAAGCCCTGCAGACAAACTTGTAATCCAAGCACGTTCGTGAACGGTAAATTTTATGAGTTTTCAATTGTATATATCTCTGCCTAATTGCTTGTACCGCATGATATATATATATGAAATTTTATGTAAGATTTATGTTCACCAAAAAAAATTTTACCTCAAAACAAAAATCGTTTTCCTAAGTGTTTATGTGACAAAATTTTTTTTAATCCCTCGATGGAAATTTATTTTCATCGTATTTATGATGTTCTACGTGAAAGTTGTTTGTTGTGCCTTGCTAATTGATTCATGACTTTTTATAGTGTGTATACATTGGCTTGAAAGCATAGATTTGCCTTAAATATTGATATATTGATTGGCACGTGGATACATATATATGAGGTTTATTGATGCATTGTTTAAAAGTATACGTATGCACTGTTTAATAGTGTATTGTACGCAGGCATGCGTTACATATATAAATATGTCAGTTTGGTATGTTGTATGTTTAATAGTAGTTAGGTATAGAAAAGCATAATGAGTAATATGCATAATTTGAGTATGCTATATGTTTCTTTATTACAATAATCATTTGACTGTTATAATTATGTCTTTAGAAAAGTATGTTTATTAGGAATAAATTTACAGTCTTTTAGGTCATGATTTATTTGGAGTCTTTTAAGGTTAAATTACGCATATTTTTACTCTTCAATTGTTACTTTACTCGCGTTCAAAGATCTTAAAAAGCACATAAGTACATAAATATTCATAGTTTATCCTATTCAAAGCCTTATCCGTATGTGAATCTACTCTCTTTAGATCTCTCAAACGATTTTACTTCAAATATGATAACGCATGAATTAGGGAAGTTTTTTTGGGAGAATGCTAGTTCTATGGCCCTGGCTTAAAAAGCCTTATTGCTACTAGTCCCCTTACGACACTACTCTAAGGAGTTGGTATTTAATCGAGCTCTCGACCAACTTTCATGAGAGTGTCTATCACTTTTTGGTTTAATCTGTTTGTTAATTAGGATTGTTTGTTAATTAGCATTGTCATATTCTCTACATGAGCCTATTTCTTGACTAAGTTGATCCACAAATAAATTGGAATAACAAAATATTCCTAATATTTTTGTAGATTATGGCTGCACTAACCAAGCGTGAATGTACCGAACTGGCCTTAGACTGGAGTAATTATTTGACTTGAGTTCTTTATGTTGAGATTTATCTCACATCAACTGAGCTACGAGATACAATTATTGTTGATTCCACAAGTGATGCGGCACAAAAGGCCAAAGCACTCATCTTCATCCGTCACCATCTTAATCATGATCTTAAGAATGAATATCTTACCGAAAAGGACCCCTACATTTTATGAAAATCCCTCAAGGAGCGTTTTGATCAACAAATATTGCTTGTCCTCCCCCATGCACAAGCTGAATTTGAGATTCCAAGACTATAAGTCTGTCACTGAAACATTACATAAAATTGTGTCACAGCTCAAACTCTGTAAACAAGAAATTAAATTTCCAACAAAGACTTCATCGAAAAGACTTTGTCCACCTTTCATGCTAGTAACATGTTACTCCAGTAGCAGTACAGGGCCAAAAGCAACAAGAGGTCCCATTTCTTCCCCACGACTTGGACCCCTTCCGCGACCTCTTCCTCGTCCTCTATCTTGGTTCCCCCTAGTGTTGCTCGACTGGGCAACATGGTGTGCTTCAAGCAGTGGTGCAGAGCCTTTGTCAGAAATTTCTTGTTTACATCTTATATCTGTAACTGAAATAACTTTATTCACAAGTCACAACATCACACCAATACACCAATTACCAAGGTTGCAAAAAACGTTAGGCGCCTCCTAGGTGCCGATTTTTTATCTTAAAAAAATTAAATTAAAAAGTGTGAAATTCACTAATAAAACATAAGGTTCCTCTAGTTTTTCTTACAAATTATTTACATAAGTGGTTGTAAAATCGTTTTGAATATTGTTGAAAGCATCTAAATACATAAAAAAAAGTTTAAAATTAAGAGCAAAAGAAGCATTTTTTGAAAAAACTAGAGGGTCAAAATAGACAATCGAGTCAAAAGTTATGCTTTCTCGAACACAAAAAAAAAAAAAAAAAAAAAAAAAAAAATATACGACCGAACCGGCCGGCCGCAGAAGAGGCCGTTTCCGGCCTTCTTCGTGGCGGCCGGCTGTCGCCTAGGCGCGATTTTTACAATCATGCCAATAACATACCATTTACCAAATACTTACAGGTACACGCCAAAATCATTCGGATATATACATTCAAGCCAAAACCACAATATTTACTAGATATACATATGTTCAATCAAATCAACCTCACACATACGCATATATATAAAGGAACAAAATCATATATTTGTAA